TATATATATATATATATATATATATATATTTTATGAGCACCATTATGTTCATTGTGCAGTATATCTAAAATAATGAGTTTTCCTCTTTTGCCTTTTAAGGAGTGAATATGGTTACCAAAGGCTGCATGGCCAGCGCAACATGCACTGATCCTATGAAGTGCTGTGAAGGGGACCTGTGCAATGGTGCCATACCTACTGGGCCCGGTCTCATCCTGCTGCTTCTGTCTTCAGCCCTGATGATGTTTTTTGTTTAACTATGCCTGTTTTCGAGAAATATGCTTTAAAATAACATACCCAAAAGGATTTGAATATATCTCAAGAACTACAGAGTTTATTTTAAATTTTTTGGTATCAAAATAAAGGCAAGACCCCAGAGAATATGTTACAGGTCTAAAAACCATCTTGGGGCGAGTGCTGAGGACACAAATTTGGGTCCTCATGTTATGAAAAGGTTAAGGCTTTAAAATGTTTGGGTTTTTTCTGCATTGGTCTAGTGTTTGATCTCTCAGCAGCTATGCTGAGATGACAATAAACAAGAAGCCAGGACAGACATGAAGCATTTTTATTCATCATGTTATACTAATCAATATGATTAATGTCTATAAAGACATCTATGTCTTTTGATGTTATAAATGAGCAAGTTCTATTTTGAATATTTGAGTTTTAATATATGAAGTATATTAGACAGTTTCACTGGTTAAATTTTACATGAGGAACAGGAAGAACTTGTGCAGTTTATGCAGAAAATACAAGTTAGTCCACAAATTAAGCTATGTGTAATAAAGAGGGGTTTCATGTGGAACCAGTTTAAGATATGGGTGGTCTTCTAAGGACAGATCAATAATTTCATACATGCTAAACTGTTGATGAATAGATATTAATATGAATCAACTAAGCAAAATATTAATAAATAAATCATCATAAGGTTATCCATAAAGAATTAACTTAATTTGGCAAAAAGCTGACAAAAGAGAATAAAACCCTTTAACAAAACTGGATGCAAAAATTATTTAGTTAATTGTGTCATTTTACAATTTTATGCTAAATTTAAGGTTCAGTGGTAAAAAAAACGAACAAAAAAAAGCTATTTTGTTTTGCTTTTATTTTGTATCTTTAGCCCTTAGGTTTGTTATTAATTTGCAAGCAAGATGAAATGTCGAGCGATTTGTGTGAATTCAATAACTCCCAAAAATACATCTCACCAGAGGCCAGCAGATGCATTAGCCTTAAACAGAATGTTTCAGACCAATGAAGTGCAGTACGTATCTGACATTGACGCCTAAACTACATATGGAAGGCTGAAGCAAAACAAAGATGGCTGGCCTGGTTATAGAACAGAATAGAATTGAAAATCCCTTTATTGTCCCACAATGGTAAATTGTGGTTTTTACAGCAGCAAAAGATTATAGCATATTAGTGGTCACACTAATGTGGACCTTAAAAAGTTTATAAAAATAACAGAATAAGTGACAGAGTTAAAAAAAAAGAAGAAAAAAAAGGCTGCAATTCCCTTATTTTATTTTATTTTTTTAGAAACAAGCAGAAGAAAGAGATTTTTGCCTTTTCTGGAACATGTTTGTGCTTTCCCTCTGCCCAGATTTGGTTGTGAAACAAATCAAGAATTTAATACGTCACACCTGCCACTGCTGCTGTGCTAAAAGCTCTACCAGTATGGCAGGCTGTTTTAACATACATTCTGCTTCTTCTGACTATGCATAATTACTACTAAGACATCAAATAAAATGTTTTTGAGTGGGAAAAACAAAATTTTAATTATCCTGAATTATAATTTAAGACACCGCTATCTGAAATTATAGTATGACCTTCAATCACATTTTGGAGAGTCAAAATTTCTTTTGATATACCTTAAATGACATCACTTGGAGGTTGGAGAGTTCAACAGACTTTGAGGTAAGAATATGGTTCTACAGAATTTTGGCCTCACTGACAATTTTAAAGTTTTGTCATTAAAAGTGAGGCATCTTTTGGGAATTTGAGATGACTTCATTCCATCATATTAACAGTAATTTGCGTTGGTTACTTTCTCAATAGCAGAATGTTTTGACATGTTTCACTGATAAAGCTTCTGAAAAACTACATTCAATTTTTTTTTACCCCCGTTCTTAATTGAGCAGCTTTCCAACTGTGAATTGAACTTACTCAAAAAGGATAAGAGGATAGAGAACGGAAGCAAGTTTGACTATGTCAGGGGTCGACAACCAAAACTGCTGAAAGAGCAATATTGGACCCAAAAAACAAAAAATAAAAGAACTCACCATGCGCCGTTTCATTGCGTGATGCTTCACCGTGCGGTTTAGGTTTTGTTACATTGATGAAATTATAGAAACACGATAAATGAATCTTTCTATGGTGGACGTGTTTATGTTGGAAGGAGTTGATTGAGTCATGAGGAACCAAGCAGGAACTGACATCCATCAGGGCAGTGCTCTCTAACCCTGACATCCCACACTCTCTGTCCCAGTGCTCCTTGGTGTTTTTTTTTGAGGATTTGAGGAAAAAATTGAAGAAATTTTACATACCTGCATCAGAGCACTACCTGTTCAATCTGTGGAAGGTTTTCCATCCTTGCAACAAAAATAACAGCAGGAATGGGGTTTGGAAATGCAATCCACTTCTTATATCTATCTTAGCGCTCCTCTACTTTATCCAGACGTTCTGCAATCGCACTTTTTCTCTCACTCCAAACTTGGTGGTCGGCTGAATATTTATCATGCCTACCCTTGAAATGCCTTTCCAAATTACTTTTTTTATTTTTTTGACAACCTCTCATTACAAAGCAAAAATGCAGGCAATCCTTCTGCAAATGATTCGGTCGATTTTTCTTTTAATTCTCTGTTCCCTTCAGCTATCTATCTTTTTTTCCTTTTGGGATCCATGGCCTGAGAAATACCTGCCGCTTTGTCTGCCTGGCACCGTGCCACACTTAAACGTGAGTTGCAGGCTATATACTTCACACCGGGAGAACAAAGTGTTCTCCCAGAAAGGGAAGCTTAGTGCCTTAACCAGCTATGCGGTTTCAGGTGACTGATCACCACCCGCAATAAAACTGCCCCCTCCCTCTTTGTATGTGTCCGATAATAAAGGCAGAAGACAGAGATGAACTGGCAGATTTCAACAAAGACATTCAGGGAGTGTCATTCTCCTACTGGTTCCACTGTCCCCATCTGCAGAAAAGTTACCTGTGTTGGTTAACCATAACCATAATGTCTTATGGACTTACACCAGCCTATCTTTCAGTCTGACTTTATTTGTACTCTCCTTCATGGACCAGCTGCTCATGAGCATCTAAAAATCAGCCCAAAAAGGTGATTTGTTGTTGTTGCAATTCTGTCCCTTAAGTTAAGGAATGGGCTGCCAGCCTCTATATCATGTTAGTCAAGCTCATTCACTTTTGTCTTTCAAATCTTTTTGAATACTTCCCTTTCTATATATATATATATATATTTTTACTTTATTATTTCACTTATTCGATTCACAATGTGTATCATTTTGTCAACCACTTGTTATTTTCTTATACGATTTATATTACAAGCAGTTAGATTTGATTTTAATATTAGATGAAAGACCAACATACTGGACACAATGATCATAAATAAGAGGCCAATGTTTTGTTTTTATTGTATTTAGCTTCAGTTTTCAAGTTGGACCAGTTTTCCTTCCATGTTCAAGAAAGGCATTCCCAGATCATGAAGCTGTAATTTTTCACCGATGACTTTCTGCATTTTGGTCATTAAGTTTTTATTTTGGTTCTCGGATCATATGGATTAAATTCCTCACCAGAATATTCTATGTGAAAATATATTTCTATCAGTTGTAATAATTGTCCCTTTCGGGCTTCCTTACTTTTACCAGGCTTGAGATCAATTTCTAAAGTTAGCTGCATCTGTTTTTAGTGATTTTTTCCCCCTGCTCCTCATTAACTGTTGTAAAAATTAACCCAGAGTTGTCTGATGCTGAGGGAAATCTATTCATCAATTCACAAATTAAACTAGTTCTTTACATATAGCATACGACTCTTCTTACTTATGAAGAAATCCAAGAATGAAAAAAAAACTCTTAGTATTACATTTTAATATAATACGTTTTAAATGTCAAGTACAAATTTATACCAGCTTTAAAACTCAGAATATTAATTAGATACCTATTCTTAAAGGCTTTTTATTTTCAGATTACAGCTTTGATTGGTGATTTGTTTAAGACGTAATTTTACACAGGAAATGAATTAAAACATAAGAAAAACAATAATTGTGAGAAAGGGGAATTTTTATTAGTTTTAGAGCTTTACAGAAAATTGTTTCTGTAATAAATCTTGTGTTTTATTTACACTCAAATGAGGTAAAATGCATAAGAATTAATTAGTTAGCAGGTTGAAAAAAGAAGGTCACAGATTACACTGCTATTAACTACAAGTGCCTTTAATAAAGATGTTCCAGAACAAAATAAATAACTTTCGATATTAAAGAAAAGACCCTTCGTTTTTATTCATGAGGATGTTTCCCTATAATTGTTTATGTTATTTCAAAGATGAAGATCATCTGACTGGTGTTACGTCATTTAAGGCGTTCATGTCAGAATAGGTACATGCTGGGTACATAAACTGCTGCTCATTTTTAGACGATCCTTCCCTGAAGCAATGGACGGCTCTCTCCTGGTGACTGTCGACTCAACAGGTTCCACAGCAGCAGTGGGACAGATGTCACAAAGCTGCCTCCATTACCATTGTCCTCCCTCAGAGGCTGGTACTGCTTGAACCGTCTGTTTAGAAACATAACAAGACATAGTGAGTTTATACGCAAAATAAAATAGATAAATTATAAGGTAGAGTCTCTCATGAGTGAATAGGACAAGCTTAAAGTGACAGAAGGGTTGTGTTCTTAAATCATTTTATCAGTAAGATATAGTTTTACCAATTGTTGAACTAATGTTTAAATTCCACTCTTATTATGTCTAAACAAGTACATTCAGCTATCATTTAAGCAGTAGGATGGCAGTGCAGATATTTGCAAATAGGAACTCCTTTATGTGAGCAGAGAGTGGCAATCGGAAAAGGTTCAGGGACCTTTTAGGACACCCCTTATCTAAAGACTATTGCTCTCTATCCAGCTGCTTCCTCTTCTCTTTTGCTATAAATTTAAAAGATGGTAAAAATTGTTATTTTTTCATATTTTCCGTGCCCTTAAATTGCAATAGCTTTATTTTCTATTTAGTGGATTTTAAAGATGAGTTTCTGTTGTTCTAAAATGTTTTGGAATTGAATATAGTTTAATTGAACAACATGCTGGTAAGACTGTTTTTAAATTCAACCCCTGTCGTGAAAGAAGAGATCCCAACCTCCAAAAGTGTGGAAACTTCAGAGCTGCAGTTTGAGCCTTGAAGCCCTGAGCTAAAAGTCAGCTTCATCTGTTGCAGGTACTGCCGTTTGATTTTAACAGATGAGGAGACTGTAATCATTGACTGAAATAGCAGCCAGGTTTGTCCCGCCCAGACCTTTTTTCACAGAGGTAATGCTCAGCCCCACTCTGCTGAGCCAAAACCTGACGGTGCCTTACAAGCTCAACGTGACTGAGTTATGAAAGCCTAGATTTTACAAAGTCCCTTTGTTGGACTGAATCGGGGTTCTTACGAGTGGCCATAATGGACTGAGGAGAAGATCAAATGCCGGAGTGAGATACCTGATTCACTGATACCCGAAGTGCAGGTTCTTCCCACAACCATGGCAACGAAACAGCAAAGAATCCCTCCAATATACTCTTTAACTTTTTATTTTATTTTATTTTTCCCTGGGTAAGAAGAATTTGTAGTAAAATGCTAAGCAGTTTTATTCAAAAAGAGCTAATTGAAAACATTGTCACTGTTGGCTTCGTTATGTGATTGAGAGATCAGATACTTTTTCCTGTGCATTACTGAAACCATACTAATTGACGGAATATTATCAAAGACTCTAACCTGAGTGAATCATTAATTTCTTCCCCTATGTACTGGTTATTTAATACATCCTGTGTTGAGGTTAGTAGTTTAAAGTGCTCACATAATTGATACTGAATAATACTGTGGTACACCCTAGATTAACTGTAGTCATCTGTGATTATCTAATAACAGTGACTGATTGTCTCTAAGAGCCAAATCAGCTTCGTTTTACCAGCTTTGATAGACAGAGACAATCTTTCACTTGTGGTCAATGATTACTAATTGCTTGAAATTATAATCCAGGTTTTTGGCATTAGAAGACAAACTGGGTTTTCCAGCCGTACAGGTAAGCAAGTTAATGAAACCTTGCAATTGAGCAAATTGTCAGTCATAATCATTTGACCAAGGTTCACATACTGGAATAATAAATTGATTAACCTCTAGTTATAGTTATTCATAATCACGGGGAAATTGCGTAACAAAAACATCTACAAGAATAAAAAAATCAATGATTTTCAATCAGGTGAAAAGGATAACCTAAAAGTGGCTTCAATGAACCAACGCTCTCTCAGGTGAGGCATACATTTTTTTTAAATGGCTCTACCAGTCATTCAATTAACTGCTTGTCTCCTACAAGATACAAAGCTCCATCCAAACATTTCTGGTAGGATAAACTGATAATACACTACCATGACTTTGTGAGGAGGATATGTTTTTAACTCTAGTATAGAGAAGAAGCACAGTGGGGTAATATTGCCTCTAAAAAAACTACCTGAACGTACAGTTTACAGTGGTGTTCAGAGTTAAGGGCTCATTATATTCCCTGCAGCAGTGTGTGGCAGTGAGCTTGTCGCAGATATTTTTAAGTTATGTCCAATATTGAAGTGTGGTCTGCGCTATGTTATTCCACGCCAAAACGCCAGAGGGATAATCATGAACTAGCTGTGGGTCTAGATATGGTGAGGAAGTTGGGGCAAGTTTGTCCAACAACGGAGGGACATGAGGGCAAAAAAGAGCGGGGATCCTGGTGGAAAAAGGGTCCCAGCGTTCTTGCGTAACATGCTCTTTTAGCTGGTCCTACTTTACTAGTCATTTTCTGTAATGGATGTCATACAAACAACACAAGCCGGTAAGTACCAAACAGGAAATACGCATGGAGGAGAACGGATGTTGATTTGACCAATCAGAGGCCTACTGTCTTCTCTGTCTGCGGTCACCTACAGCTTTGGAAAGGTGCACCAGAGTGTCTGCTGCAGGGGCGGTGGCACATTTGCATTCACTGCGACACACATGCAGATGACCTGGTTTTTGAGTGTAAATCAGCACTTATAGAGAGGGACTGTGTTGGCTGCTGGAGCTGTTAATATTCCTGTACATGTCTGAAGCAGAAAAGGCACTATTCGAGGTAACTGAACCAATTTCACTTGAACAGGACTGAAATTTCTAACAGGACAAATGATCAAAGAGTTATATGAAAAGAACATAAACCTGCTAGCATTAGCTTAGTACTTTAATTAACTAACTAACCTGACATGAATTTAAAGAAGTAAAGCACTGTCTAAAATAAGCACAATAATGGCTGCTATCAAAAATGATGCTGCACCACGTGAAGATCTGTTGGTTTGAATTAAATGGACATAATTTAAAAAAACGAATGAATAAAATGTTATCCAATTGATAATCTGTTTGTACTGCATTTTAATGCTAAGCCAATCACGCCTCAAATAAATTTGAATTATATCAGGAACAAAGAAAATATGATGATTAGGACATCCCATAAAATAAGCCAAAGCACTATGACATAGAAATATTAACCTCAACTAAAGATTTGATCTCAGGCACTCACCTGTACATTAAACCAATGCAACAGACAACACAGGCCAGCAACATTCCTCCCAGCACCGTGGCAGCAGTTCCAGCAGGGGAACCACCAGACGCTGAAACAAATTGAACATCATTTTACAAATGAAGCAACAGAACTAACTTTTAATAGCTGCTGATTATTTTCCCTTCACTCACCTACTGCTACATTGATCCTAGCACTGGCCATAGCCAGGCTGACATTATTAGTGAGGGAAACATTGAGGCAGAACACGCCCGTGTCATTGAAGAACTGGCGAAGGATCATCTGACAGTCTGGAGAGGGCATGGCTGAACTGCACACGGTCTGAACCGGTGTTATACAGTCACCATCAGAGATAATCGTGCACACTTCACTTGGGAGGCTGCAAAAACAGAGTGGGAGGAAGAAGATGTTGGTACATGATGGAAAAACTGTAACTTGAAATCAATATTGTTGTTAAGGACTTATTTTTTCCAGTAGTATTGCCAGCTATTTAACTCTGTCTAGCTTTACATTTACTCTGACCAGCCTTTTCCACATCATCCCTATCACGGCTTATAGATCCAATTTCAATGAATTTCAATGACTTTTCAATGAGTTTTCCCTGAGACCTTCACATAGCTGGGAATGGATTACAGATTATTTAGGGGAAGTATACCAAAGATTGCTAAATGGATATGTTCAGCACTTTATTTAGACTTTTAGTTTTAGCATGTCTAATTATACAATGGCTTTACAATATGCATCTTCATGCTGTTTGGGGGGAGGGCGGCCTAGTGGTTAGGGCATAGAGCTTGGAATCCTGAGGTTCTGAGTTTGAGCCCCACAGACTGCCACTCTTGGTCTATGAGCAAGACCCTTAACCCCACACTGTTCCCCAGGTGCCGCACAATGGCAGCCCACTGCTCCCCAAGATGATGGGTTAAATGCACTGGTACATTTCTCCAATGTGACATCAATAAAGTTTTTTTATGTTTTATCAAATGGAAATATCAAAGTTTATGAATGTAAAACAACAAAATGTTGGAAAGTTTAATAAATATGAATACTTAAGCAAAGGATGGCCATCATTTTTAAAGTCATGTTTCATGTCCTGGACATGATTAACTGCTCCATTGATTAAATGTTTTAAGTCACTTAAAGACTGTTGCACCAACCTTCCCTGACAGGAAATGGTGACATCCACTGCATTCTGATCCAACTGAGTCGCCATTGACACAACATTGGACATCTGAACAATCTCTACACTCTCAATTCCCTCTGCCAGGTCAAAAGAGGAAAGGAAATATTGATATTAATTATCAATAGCACAGTGGTGTCATGTAAAATGTGTTATTTACTGTATGAAATGGCTCAATAACACTTACCAACGACATTTACTGTTGTAGAGAGGGAACCAAAGCGGTCGATTGTGCAATCAGCTGTCATTTCCGGGGCTTGTCTCTTGACCACCACAAGTGCAACCTGGGCTGGATCTGCATCTACTTCAGCCAGAACTTCAGCCTCATCTGGAACAGCTTCTGCTTCATTTGCTTGAACCCCCCCAAAAAGTAATGGGAATTAGTATTGCACTGCTATACAGGATCAGAAGTCTGCTTTGTAATTACTGTGGTAGTTTAATACATTTATAGGAAATCCTCACCTGCAGCAGCTGCAGTTGCGGCAACTGCGTTTTCAGTATCTAGCACCTCGGCTTCAGGGTCAGCAGCAGTTTCTTCTGCTGCTGTGACCTCAGTGGCAGGTGCAGCAGCAACATTCTCTACAGCAGCAGGGGCTTCAGTTATGTCTTGAGCAACAATAGTTACTACAGAGGCCTCGTTGGCCTCCGCCTGTACAGATGTATCCACCACAGGTGTAACCGTGGAGGCAACAACAACCTCATCTGCAGGTTCTTCCTCCGCTGTGACAGGGGCTGCTGAAGCAGCAGCGTCAATCACTGGGACAGTCTCCACATCTGCCTCAGTGCCGTCCTCTGCAACTGTTTCCACTTCTACCGGCTCCTCAGCCTCAGGGAGAGCAGTGGCTGCCTCTCCTGCTGCAGCCTCTGTATCCACTGCAGCCACATCTCCTTCTGCAGCTGTGTCTGCAGGATCTTGCTCTGCTGGAGCAACAGCCGCATCCACTGCTGCTGGAGCCACCGAGGCAGTCTCCACGGTGTCGGTATCAGCGGCTGGTTCTACATTTTCAGAGGCATCGGTAGGGGAGGCGTTTGAGGCAAGAACATCCAGGGCTGCAGCATCTTGTCCTTCAGCTGGGGTCAGGGTGGAAGGAACAACTACAGCTGGAGCAACAGAGGATTCGGATGGAGCAACTGGGAGGAAAAGGAAAAACCTGCTTATTTTAAATCATACAGGGGTGTCCTTACAGTTATAACAACAGAATAATAGTTTAAGGCCTTACCAGCAGTGGGGTTTCCACATGAGCTGGGAATGTGCGCCATCAGGATCACCTGAGGTTTGAAGTCTCCTGCTGAGAGGTATGTGTGTGTTACGGTGCGCTCTCTGGAGATGAGCGTCCCGCTTTTGTCCCCAAAGTCCCAGCTGAAGCTGATGTCAGCACTGTTCAGGTACTGGCTGGGATCGTGGAGTGCAACTGAGAAGGCGATGGGTTGGTTCTGGATGAAGTTCTGGTCATTTTGATTGACATCATTGACTTGAGAAAGGGATAGGCTGAATGGAACCTGGTCTGATGAAGAGGTAAAGCAAATAGAGATGTTTTTGTAATACTGTTGCTCTACTGTTGTAATTCATCCACACTTTGGACCTTATAAATGGTTCTGATGGTCACCTGTGATGGTGAAGACAGAAGATGCGTAGCCGAGGGGGATGAACTTGTCTCTTCCACGGCAGTGATAGATGACCAGCTCCATTTTGTAAGAACCCAGCTGAACGTTGTCCGTGTCAATGGTGAGGGAGGAGGATGGTCCATCTGCCACCTGCCAGTAACGCCCTAGAGTACAAAAATAAAATGAGAACTACTGTTTAGGAAAATTGGAAAAGATAACAAGTTTGCCTCTTTAGAAGTAAAACATAAAGAAATTAGATTTGATTAAAACGTTTAACTGTGCTCTATTTGCATGTATCTAATTTTTCTGTAAATGCTATCAACAAAAGTTCTTTAAACCAAAAAAATAAAGTAAGATATATATTTTTACACTATTAAATGTAGCTCTGAGACCAAGACTTAAAAAGAAAGAAAGGCTTCTTCTGTTCCAGAGGCTTTTAAGGCTTTCCTTTAAGCCTTTTGAAGGAGTGCCATCAGGGAAAACTCCACTCCATTCATCCCTGTTTCCACCAGACTCTTCAATGCGACACTGCAAGGGCAATAACTTATGCTATGTATAATGTGCAATTACTATTCAATACCCTATGCATTAACCTGTTTCTTTATATTTGACACCCAATGCAAAAGCAGTATATATATAAACATCCATCCATATAAATACCCATGTAAATACCCCGTGCAATAACCCTGTTTAATCCAGCTATAAAAAAAATATGCTGTCATGTGTGGAGGCACTGTATATACTGTAGATATCCCATATACCTTTTTCTTACTTTGGCACCTTCTTCTTTTCTTTTTTTTACTATTTAAACAGATCTAACAAGTACATTTCTCCACTGTGAGATCAATAAAGTCAAACAGTCAATCAATTAAAGTAAAGTCTGCCACTGATTTAGCTCTAAAGACTGGTCTTGCACTAAAATCCAACACTATTTCGAGAACAGTTATTCGGTAAAGGAAAAAAAACACTGTGTAGTGGATGATTGTGAACAACTCTTTGATGAGTTCACCTTTTGTTTTAAATCTTCAAGTTTATCATGTTTCTGCTTTAAAAATAGTGTTCATGACACATTTGTCAGAGTTCATGACAACATATAACCTAATAATGTGAAATGAAGCTTCTGAAAGTGAAATGGGCATACAACATAAAGAACATCACTCAAAAAATATATTTCAGCCCAAGATTTAAGATTTGATCAGATAACAAATTCCCATTCACTTTTCTTTAGATAATTTGAACAGAAATCTCTTAAATAAACCTTACATGATGCATATACATTAATTTAATATAACTTTAAATAAATAACTGTCAGGTTTAGGTATTGAGAATTAATAAAATATCCTTAATCAAAATAATACTAACAAGTATGTACTTCAAATATATGAAGTTTATTTGTTTGATTTGCATGATAATCAGGTTACCTTTAATTTAAATCCTATTTATGAATCCATTATCAAATACTACAGTTTAAAAATGTATTTTCAACTCTTATTTCTTAATAGATATATGAAAATAACAATCCATAAGTTTGATCAGAAACACCTTTCCTAATCACAAATTTTAAAAGGTAATTCTTTCATCCATTTCCATTTTCTTTTTCACCTTCATTTTCAAATCCTTTTATTCATTATCTTTTTTACTTTACCTTCTCCATTCACCTTCTGTATGACCCCTCTGGTGCCTGAGCACGCTGAAAACCAGTTCAACCAATCACAGTAGCTCCTCAGATGTAATCTGCTCTACCATTGGTTAGACTGTTACATTTAGTTCACAAAATGAGGAAAGGTACAACCAGATTTACGAATTGCAGTTTTAAAATATTCATTTAAAAATAGGACCTGAAATTAAATTTTCAAGTTGCAGTATTTAATAATCACTAATGTAATTTACAATTCCTCTTCAATAATTCAGTTTAAAATGTGTAATTAGAAAACGCCTTTTTAATTTGAATTTTTTATTTCATGATTTTAATGTTTTTTTCTATTTTTATTGATCCCCTGGTCTTCAATAATTCTTATCCTTTAATGTGATAGTGAGATGAAAATGTTTTGTTAGATTTGTGATCGAGACTATGGCTAAACGGAATTGAAGTTTATATATTAAATCTTTATATTTAAGAAATGGAAAAGTCATTGATTATTTATCGCAACTGATTAAAACGAGGAAAGTATACATATTCTAAATAAATATATGTTTAAATTAAAGTTGTAATTGACAAGCTTTACAGTGTAAGAGTATAATAATACAGAAATATATCAATTAATTTAAAGTATTTTTATACATCACCATATAAGAATTAAATATTAATCTATCAACAGTTTCTAAAGGCGGCTGATAACTAAATAATGCAGTAAATATCTTCCTATTGTCTTAGTGGAGATGAACGATTTTTAAAGTTAGACGAATAAGGAAGACGATTTAAGTTTTAAAGAAGGAAATGTAGAACATTTATAATGATGCAAAGATTGGAATAGAAAAGCATTAAATATCACTCCCATCATATAACACACACAAAAAAAAACAGTTTCTAGCCCAATCATGGTAACTTACCCCATGTCTTCCACACAAACACATAGCGGGGTTTCCTGTTCTGACTCCTGTTGAAAGGCGTGCCGTCAGGGAAAACTCCGCTCCATTCGTTATCTCTCTCTGGATACACAGCCTGACCCTCCAGGTACTCACGCCCTGAATACCAACATCCAAAATATTTATCTCAATTATCACAATTACAAATATATTAAACCCTACATATTCAAGAGAGAAGAAGGAGACAGGGTTTTTATCCCTTCAGTATTTCAGCAGCTTTCATACAGATCACTTCATACCGTTGACGGTGCAGTTGCGTGCCCACACCACCTGCCCATCAGGCAGCACCGTCTGGTTTACTGGGAAATTAAGGTTGATGGTGAAAGTTGCCTTTGCTCCTATGAGGGTGGGCGCATCATTCTGAAGGTCAAAGGTCACTTCACCACCTGAAAAACACACAAATAAACATATATACTAAATAGCAATGGATGGATGGATGGATGGATGGATGGATGGATGGATGGATGGGTGGATGGGTGGGTGGGTGAAGTGTTAAAGAGAACCAGCTGGGTCTCACCAGACCAACAGTTCCTGAACCTTGGGTCTCCATCTTGCCAGACCGGATACAACCGAGAATTCCATGATCTGTAACGTGTGAAATGGCTCCTTTGTCCTGCAAAAACACCACAAAATCATTTTAAAAAGGTAAGTAAAGATAATCTGCTGAAAGCCAGATCTTCAAGATGAGAAAAAAAGATTTATTCAGTTTGAGTTTTTTATCTGATTTCTTTCTGTCATAGTTAAAACAAAAAGTTATGTGGAATAGAAACAAAATGAATAAGATGTGAAGGTGCTGGTGGAGATGCAGGGTATAAAGGTTCTTGAGGGAGTGAGTCACACGACCCACAATCCCCCTCAATCCCTTTCATGTGACTTTCAGCTGAGCAGGACTGGCATCAGTAATCCCGGTGTGAGGTATGAGGGCTACCTTTTATATAGTCTATTACAGCAATCTCTAACTTTGTCTCTCATCAATGTAAAGCCCTTCAGATCTCCATCACATTTTCCAACACAGTTTCAATTAGTTTAGAAAGTATTTATAAATCTAGGTAGAAACAATTTCAAGTTCTTAATTAGCAAAAAATTGGAATGTAAATGTTTATATATCTTCCCTCTCATAAACAAAGAGCAAGTTGTTTCAGCATGAAACAAGTGTGAAATAAGAGGTCAGTTTATTTGCTGCTCAATTAGTGGTCTAAACCATAAAAAATTAGGGGAATAAACAAAGGAATGTGTTGATAAAACCTTCAGCAAATCCTACCTCAAACAAAACCCCAATAAAGATTCTTATACTAAAACATTTGCGTATGATTTGTTATATGTAATTTAAGACTGACACAGCAAATAGATACTTACTATCTGCCGTGGCTGATGTAAAAGCCAAAAGAAGAAGCGTCAGAATCCACATCTTTGCTTTGGTCGTTTTTGGTCTTCCTTCTGAATCCAGAATCTCACCCCTTGGTCCAGAATCCAAACAGGCTCCAAGAACTCCTCCCTCACTCTTTTTAAGATGGACCCCAGACCTGAATTACCATAAAATCTGTTCTCGCCTCTGACGTCACGGAGAGTCAGTCTTCAGGGTCCAACCCCTTTGAGTGAGATTTTATTTAACTTTTGAATTGTATCCTTTCAGAGCTGAGTTGGTATCATTCTGATTTAAATCATTACATGTTTTCATTTAATTAGATCTGTATATTTCTTTAACTGAAACTTTTATCGTCATTACTTCTGAGGCAAAATCTGTGTCACATTTTGCATATCTTAAAACAATAACTCAGAGTATCTAACATGAATTAATGCATTCCAGTAATAAAAAAAATAAAACCTAGAATGCCTTGAAGGCATTAGTGGAAAAGCAGTCTGTGCTTTCTGCTGCTGTCATAAAATAAATTTGTGGATGTGCAAAGCCTAAGTCATTCCTGACTTAAGATACAACCTGACTACCATGTGTGCATGGAAATCACAAGATCAGTGTGTGGATGCGCATTCAATAGTATCCTTTTATTTCCTTAGCCTCTCTACGCATTCTGCTGTTGACCTCCGGCTGCTGCAGCTCAGGAAATATTCACTTGATGAAAAAAAAGTACATTTTGTATAATCAGATCCTTCATCAGGATCCCAACTTTTAAGAATAAAAGAAGGCTTAATTTCAAATAATAAAAAAGTGCAGCTTTTCTATTTAGTCAAAACGGTGTATGAAATAACAGAATAACTATGCGATTTTCTTTTTAAATAATGTTCAGTTTTTTATGTTTATATTAAGGCTACTAAAAGCAGTGACTAACCCTGATTATCTCTTCATCATGTCACCAGTGTGTCTGTAATTCTTAATGGTAAGAAAACGGACAGATTGTGACGGCTGTACCAAGGGAACCACATTAGTAAACCAGTGACACAGTGGCCAAGGCTCACTGATATGTATTAGGAGCGAAGGTAAGACTACATACTGCAAAACCTTAACGTAACTAGATATAATGAAGAAGATGCCGACCCTTGTCAGGGTGGCATCTTTTTATCAGGATAATCCAGAAGGAGCAAATTAAAATCAAAGTTAATAAATGTTTAAGTTGAATCAGATCCTTTTTTGTTTTCTCTTTGGAGTTTATGCAAAATGGATGGATGAAATGTTTTGTTAACATATCTAATGTTACTTTGACTGTAAGAGATTGGAAAAAAGAAAATAAACCAACTTAGAACATCAGGGGAACATAAAGGCTATTAGTCTTCCTGCTCTGTGGTTTAATCATCTCGACCCTCTCTGGGTAGATCAGCTCTTTGGCTTATCTGTCTGACCGGATAGAGGTCACCCCTTAAAACTTCAGCAGTGCTGGCTGTAAAGATGTCACAAGGCTGCTCACATTAGATCCAACATGGGGGTTACTGGACACACTCAAAATGTTGAGAAAATACCAAATAAGGGAACAACATGCAAAAAACAGGGAAGAAAATACAAAATAACATTTACAGAAATCAAAGCTCAAACATGTACCATTTCCATGTAAATTTTGTTACTTGTCCGAATAATTTTTGTATGCTCTATAAATGTTAGAATGTTCTTTGAAGAGATAAGGGAGTCTTTTCTCCTGTGGTTGTCTTATATTTTTAAGGGGGTTCTCTCAGGGTTTTTCTATTGTGGTTAAGGTTAAGGTTAAGGTTTTGCAGTACGTAGTCTTACCTTCGCTCCTAATACATATCAGTGAGCCTTGGCCACTGTGTCACTGGTTTACTAATGTGGTTCCCTTGGTACAGCCGTCACAATCTGTCCGTTTTCTTACCATTAAGGTTGATTTTTTTTTCACATAATGCACATAGTTCTTCAGTCGTGGGTGAGCGGTTAGGGTGTCAGACTTGGATCCCAAAGGTTACCGGTTCGACTCCCGACCCGCCAGTAATTAACCAGCGCTCTCCTCCATGACTGAGGTACCCTGAGCATGGTACCGTCCCGCCACACTGCTCCCTTGGGGTGCCATTTAGGGCTGCCCCCTTGCATGGGTGAGGCATAAATGCAATTTCATGGTGTGCAGTGTTCACTTGTGTGTGCTGTGTCACAATGACAATGGGAGTTGGAGGAGTTTCCCAAAGGGCTTTCAAATGTTATTAGAATATCAAAATGACAAATTAGTTATCTGTTAAGATTCTATTTCATCCAGGTGATGGTCAAGCTTGAAAAGTTCAGTTTAGGCAACTGGATGGGACGTTTTCTAGAAGACATGCGGAGTGTTGGCCTAGTGGTTTGAGAAGCGCACTTGTGCCCTGAGAAGGTTGCAAGTACACAGTACTTAGGGGGTGGTGATGGTCGTTAGGGGGTTCTGATGGCTCATTAACTCCCTCGTCAGAGTGGCTTTGGTCACATACACTGAAAAAAATAATGCAACCGTTTTTGGCATTTACTTAATCATATTTACTTAGACACAATTATTCTTATTCTTCAGTGTACCTCAGTGAAGTGTGAGTCGGGTGAGGGGGGGTGAGAGGTGAATCTTCTGGGTATCGTTCCTAAAAGTGCTTGGTAAGTAGATGAAAGGTTACGTGTAATGAAGGTCCTTTGAGAAGAGATTTTTTTTCCAGGTTAACAAAGATGGCTTCATTATCCCCTCTTTTTAACCATTTGTCTTCCTTGGCCAGAATATGGGCATTTATCTCAAACGAGTGTCCTTTAGCCTTCAGGTGAAGGCAAACAGCTGAGTCCTGTCCTGAGGAGTTGGCCCTCCTGTGTTGAGCCATGTGTCTGTGTAGTGGTTGCTTTGGTCTCTCCAATGTAAAGATCTGTGTACTTGTTTCTGGGTTCCTTGTCTTTGGGGGGAGCCAGTTTGTTTCTCAGGGTGTTGCTGGGTTTGAAGTGCACAGGGATCCGGTGCTGGTTGGAGTTTTTCTGAGTTTTTCTCAGTGCTCCCCACCATCAGTAAACTGAGGAACCCTCTTGGATGAGAGGCCGAATGTCTTCTAGAAAACTTTGCTTCCAGTTGCCTGAACTGACCTTTTCAAGCTTGACAATAAAGATGATTTTACATTGAATCAAGATAATTTGTCAAGGTTTATTTATTTATTTATTCATTTTTATCCCAGCTGGTGCTGTGACATTCTGGACTTACAGTAGAAGCACAATGATCAGAGGAAAACTTAATGAAATATTGGAATAATTTAAGCTAGGTAAATGATAATTCTAATTAAATCTATAATTTTCTCTATTGCATTTCTCAGCTTTTCATAAGAATAAGAATCCTTATTGAGGTTCAACTTAGCATGTTAGTCAATATCAATGGTGGAGCAACATTCACACCTACAAAAAAAACCTGTAATGCAATTTAATACAACAATTATCTAACAAAGTAGAAGCTTGCTGCTAAATAAAACAATAAACAAATCATAAACGATCACGACATTTGATCTATGGATGATGGGAGTGTTTAAAACTACTTTTCTGTGTTTTTTTTAACTTTGTCCTCAAATTCTATTCAGAATCTGACCTTATGATAACAAATAATTATTAATAATCATAAAATACTTTGACTACTACAACTGATTTCCCATTTATTTTAAACATAACCTTCTTCATTTCAACACAAAAAAAATAAATGCAAATACAGGTTTATTGGTTCAAGCTCTAAGTTCAGAAATCAGAGTGGGTAAAGCTCTTTTTTTCCCTCTGTAACTGGTGGTTTTCCCAGTGGTATTGTCTCATGCCTCCGAGACTACGCAGACTGCACTGCATGTGACCCCTCATGTGCTCACAACTGAGTTTTGGAGGAAATAAATCCCCCTCAAAGAGCACCTGACTCAACATACCACAGATATTCAACCTTTAGCTTCTTTTTCATTAGTCTCCTAGCCGTATGTTGCATAATTAATTTTATTTCACAGTTTGGAGGGGAAAACACTCAAATCAGAACTCTCCCACACTAGATAAGGAAGTTCATTTCACTATATTAACAAGCTAACAGATTTTTTTTTAGCATGATAATATTTCTGGTCTTGATGGAACAAAACCTGGAGTTCAGATCAGTCTTTCCACTTCCTGAACCGACTGTGAAAATAAAAGTCAATTTAGGACTGCTGTCTAAAACCAAATCGATAAGGCTGTCTGGACGGAGCCATTAAGGCACATCAGTTCACAACCTCTGCAGAATTCATTCAGCATGTTCTCTGCTTTGTACTAACCAAGTTGGATGCAATTTTTTTAATCAGCTGTAGATTTATTTTTTTTTTTTTCCAGCAGCATGAGAAAACTTCTGATGAGCAGATTTTCCTTAAAAAAGAGACTGTAATCTCAATTGGTGAAATCTTTTTTTCACAAACATACAGAAATAAATAGAAGAGAAATTCAAACCTTTGTTAGTGCAGAAATTTGTTTCTATGGACTCTACAAAACAGGGTCTCCATTAAAGCTGCCATAAAGACGACGACACACAGAAAGGGCCTCATAACATATGATGAAAAGTGTAAAGAAAAACCTTATTTCTCAGGTTTGATATACAGGATCACTTTATATAATGCAGTAATACTTTATAGGTGCTTCCCACTGACTCCTGGTCAAATTTAGTAGTAGATCCCCTAATAAAACAGTTCTTTTCAGCCATGTATGCAAAAGGAAGTCTTCATTGTTTCTCTGCCTTTCTCCTGAAGACCTTTGAAGCAGAACTCTAGTGTGTTGCCCTTTCGGATGTCTGCTGATTCCCATCTGGTTCCTGCCCTCTGGAAAAATATCCACCATTATTCCAATTCTAAATAATCCCTGTCCTAAAAAAAAAATGATGATAGACCCAAGGCTTACGGATTGTCATGCACTGAAAAATATTTAATATTAGCTTTTAAATCTGATGTCAATCTTGAACTATTAACTTCAGTTTGCTGATAGGCAGAGGAGGAATACAGATGATGACATTAATGGCATCGCCCACCTAACTCTGAAGCATCTAGTGGCTATGTTTTTTTTTATTTTAATACATTACAATCTCATCTGTTATAACAAGAAATAAACCACCATTAATACAAAAAAGATTTGTTGTTTGATCCCAAGTTGGTGGGATATAAGCATCTTATGGACAAAAAAGATGCTTTTCAGTAGGTTCAGTAGAACAGGTTTAGGATGACAACAAAGGTTTAGCAAATATGAAAGCTGCAGAGCTGTGTACAGACTGCTGTAAAGGTTAGGACCAAAATGTTCTCACTACAGTCCTTTAATGAGCAGTATGTAGTCAGGCAGTTCAAGGATGGTTATTGTTGGACACATTCCAAATCCTTCAAATGAAATACAAGCTCTTGCCTTCTGGTGAAGGTACAGCAAACCAAAAAAACAAATACAAAATGTTACTTTTCTATATTCTTTTTCATCATCTGCTATCAAAAGTTAAAATCAAAATGTCACATAGACTGTTAATTTCACCCCTCGGAAGTGTCCAATAATTTGGTGTTATGCTTTAATAGTCCTTTTTTTGGGGGTTGTCTCATGAGTGTGCATATGGCCTAGTTGTATGTTCATTTAAATCTGTCATCAAAACTAATCTTTTACACTTGCTTTAAACCTATCATGGGAGAGCTTGTTTTTATCTATCTATCTATCTATCTATCTATC